AATGGACCAGGGAATTACGGGTTCGGCAAGGAACGAACGGAATGAGAGGAGGAACGGAGAAAGGCATTTGAGAATGGGCCGATCAAAGATTACGAAAAACGTTCAATTTCTGTAATCTTTATTCCCGTTTGTGACATCCATGAGCCGAATTGTCTTGACTCTCAGTATAAAGGGACTCTAATACTGCCGTGCTAAGGAAAAACGCCGTATGAACCTTCAGGCGTTGCCGAATTTCCTTCGATAAAAACTGAATTTACTGGGAAAATTGTGAATATTTTTTTCCAATATTTCCAGACTATTTAGTACACAATTTCATCCAAAATATCTGAAAATCTAAAAGAAAAATGTGCATCAATATCGTCAAAAATACATATTTTATCGAGGGAAATTTGGCAACCCCCGAATGTTCACACGGCGTTCTTCCTTAGCACGGCAGCATAGGCCTCCAAATTGGTCTCCTTTGTCCCCCCGCAGCCCAGTTCGAAGGAAACAATGTGATGTGTCCCACTGCACCGACGGATTCCCCTTGCTAGATTTCCGCCGGTCTCAGCGGAAGCAGGAAAATGCGATTTTCTCCGGGAAAACGGGCCGTATCTAACCAGCGAGCTGATTATCGGGATTAATGGGCATAGCGATAGACAAAGAAGACAAAAAATGGAGGATGTCCGGAAGTCAACGTGCTTAACTTTCAGGGTCGGTTTTTCGGCTCAAAATATAACTATTTTTCCTATACACGCATGCCTGAAAGCTCTTCATGCATGAGTGAGCTATGCTCTTCCAAAGTTGCTTTTTTCTCCTTTCAAATTGATGTAAAAGTTTTAAAAATCATCTGTCGTTAGTGGCTGATACTTTGTGTCGCGGGGGTATTTTTTAGCGTACTTTTCATCTTTCGTATTTTCAAGGACGCGCGTCTTCGGAAAATGAAGTTAGGAGCGTTCCCGAATTGTAAAATTGCGATAGCTTTTTTGGTAGACGATATTCAGAAAAACGGATTACGGCACGTGAAAGAGTGCAAAAAATAAAGTGGAGACGGTTCTTCACAAAATTTTCCAGAAACGCGTCATTTCGACGAAACAGAGCTTTGAAAAAGTTCCAGATTTTCGAAACTCCTTGTTGGGTATGCAATTTTTACTGCAAGGACTTTAAGAAAGCATATCGCATAGCAAAGGATGCACACAGCTCACTCATGAAGCGTTTACGGGCATACATGTGTACGAGAAAAAAAGTCATATTTTGAGCCGAAAAATCGATCCTGAAAGTTGAGCACGTTAACTTCCGGACACCCTGTATACCTCGGACGAGTCTCGACTGCACTGAAGTTCGGCTTAGCGCTTTTGATTGACCGTTGGTGCAGTTTGGACTCATCGATGGATGTTACACTCCGACTCCATGTGAAAGAGCCGTCAAAATCCGGCCTCAGCGCGACCATTATGACATCGGCAGTACTCGCTACTCGCCCCACGTGGTTTCGGACAAAATCCAGCGTCGAACAACGCGTTGCCGGTGTCTATCGGTCGGCTCGGAGTCACGGTCAGTGGATCAGTCGGCGCGGCGCAAATGGGTCAATGGAACGACGAAATGTCGCTGATTCATCCCGCGGACTCCTATCTCTCGAGGCTGATTGTGAGTCGGAGTTATGTCATCGTGCGAGGTGGAGATGGAACGTAAACGCAACGTAACGAGAGTGAAAGAGGCGAAGAAAGTTCGGCTCCGTTATCGACGAGTGAGGCCTACACCTGCTCCTCGAGACCGAGGTCAGGGGTTCAAGCGGCACGGTCACCGACGTCGCGCGACGCAGCGGAAGTTCAATCGAATACTGCCGTGCTAAGGAAAAACCCCGTATGAGTCCTCAGACGTCGCCAGAGTTCCTCCAATGAAAACCGAATCTACTGGGAAAATTTTGAATACTACACTGAAAAAAAAACTCCGGCCGTGAGAGCCGCAATTACGGGCTATATAGGCATACCGACCGTTCCGGGCTCAAAGGCCGAAAATTCCGGCTGCTGGAGGCGTAGCTTCGATTGCTCCGGGTTCAGAGGCCGAAGCTGCGGCTCCAGCAGCCGGAATTTTCGGTCTTTGAACCCGGAACGGTCGGTATGCCCATATAGCCCGTAATTGCGGCTCCCACGGCCGGAGTTTTTTTTTTCAGTGTATCCGGACAATTTCGTTCGCAATTTGATCTAACATATCAAAAAAATTTGAGGAAAACTATGTATAACTTTTCACAGAAATTCACGTTTTATCCGGAGACATTTGGCAACTCTCGAATGTTCATACGGCGTTTTTCGTACAAGAGCTAAAATCCTCAAAAATGTCGTCAAAATTTTTCATTTTGCAAGAGGTTGGATTTTACGAGTTGTGATAGAACCGGCCCTAACTCAGTCAGCTGTAAGTGGAAGATTTCCAACTTACATTGAAAAGCAAATGGATGGCCGAAGTACGAAACTACGTATCTGCATTGCGGAGTTTCAAAATTTCCAGTCCTAATTTAGTTTTTACAAGAAAAACGAGCCAGCTTTACAGCTTGAAATTAATACAGAGCACTCTTCTAATCAAGATGAAAAATCGAGAAAATTTATCAGGAAATTACATTTCAGAATCTTCCAAAGAGTACATAAAGTATGACAGGAAGTCTGCAACATCGCAAACAGAGACACATGGTTTCGCACTTTAGCCGTCAAAATATAGTACGTTTCATTCGAGGAGTCTCATGGGGAGGTTTCAACGTTATTCCTTAATCATCAGCTTAAAAATGTTTCAATTTCAGTTTTTATCCAAAGTGCTGTGTCTTATTATTTCATTCAAGCAGAATTATATCTTGCAAATTAATGGACTTACGATAAAACATGGATTTACTGCACTCTAAATAAGCGTGGTAGAATAATGGTCGTAGGTACCTCTTGATTTTCCTGAGCTTTTGAGGTTCGTTCCTCTCTGTTTGCATTCCTGCGTGCATGGGTGGAACGAGGAACTATGTGGGGGAGGGGGAGGACGAGAAGTACCTTATCAAAGTTTGTCAGGGAGGGTACAGAAAGATATGGGCAAGACTAAGGGGGCCCAATCACGCGGCTAGTTATCGTAGTCAGATGCATAACTAATGCCAGCAAAAATCTATTACCGGCTACTAGATTTCCTGAAGATCACATAAAATCAAGAATCTAGTAACTACTAACTTTCTTTTTTATTCGTGTCCTCCAGATTCGAAGAAGGTTTCGCCTCCCCCCACTCCCAAGGGAAAATTTTGAAAAATTAAACCGATGCAGGAGCAATTCTGAGCTGTTTTTGTCGAAAAAAGTAAAATCTCAAATATGGAAGGCTTTGTAGCCCACTCATTTAGAACAATCTCTCACATTTTTGGGGAAAAGTCAGATTGATTTGGAGGGGGGGGGGGGTTAAGCTCCCTCGGCTCTCCTTGTTTTTCCCATGCCTGCGTAACTAGAATATCTTCATCTATACTATAAGCTCCAAGACCTCCTAATTTTGGGAAACTGGTAACGCTTAGTTCCAGCGTTCTACCGGGCCGATTTTCATGATTTTTGCGGTTATCGACGGGCAATTGTCTCTAGATAAGCCAACTCTTTTCAGATTTTCAAAATATGGCCCAGGTTTTTTTATATTACGTGGTAAAGTTGCGAATTCTCCCATTTAAACAATGTAAATTTATACTTTTTGTCATAGTTCGTTTGAGCGTTCTACCGGGCCGATTTCCATGATTTTT